TAGACAGGATAAATTGCAACAAAAATTGGAACTTTTACTGAATTTTCAAATTGAGTATTTTCGTGAGGTTTCTTCAACATTTGCCTGCGTGCGCACGCACATCATCATTCTGGATGATTTCTGATCTTTCTTTAGATTAACCAATGCACACAAACTCATCCATTCAGACGCCGGTTGATGCTCCATGTCTTCCCCCTGGCATCTCCCTGAGACGCTCTCTTCCGCTGCCTCTCCCACAGTCACTCCCCAGCTCGGGTAGTCCATGGTGACCCTGTCTTCTCAGACTCCCCGGCACCTCACAGACCTACCTTCTCAACTGACACCACCATGTTGCTTACAATGATGGAAAGCTTGTTAGTTTGTGTATGACTGTCACTTCTTAGCCAGCTCCTCTGTGTGGATTCCCATAGCATCCCACCAGCAGGGTGCGCACTTACAAACAGAGCTTTGCTGAAGGAAACAGTGCAGAATAAAGCCTAGGATCTGAAGCGAATTTACAGATCAGATAGGATAAGTGTCTGCCCAGGCTTCCATCCTCCGTCCTCCTCCTCAGGGGCTTTCTCTGTCTGCACAGACCTTTCAGTAGAGAATTCATTACCACACAAGAAAAGCACTTTCCAGAAGTTGTGAAAAGCAAGATGTCCTTCTGCTTTCACTGACTACTACAAATGGAGAAGCTTTGTTACCATCGTGGTGTTCAGGGTAGGTGTCACAATGCCACCTACAAACCACTCATCACTGATACCACACTGATGAGGAGCAATCATGGCCCTGTTTATGTTCACGCTCAGAGCAGCCACAACAACAGTAACAGCAGCAACAACTGAAAGGCTCAGTCTGCAGAGTGGGAAGCACTGTGCCATGAAATGTATGGCTGGGATTTGGGTTAAGTTTTCCATATTTATAAAAGGAGACTCCTTTACTAAGGGTGATATAAAAAACTGCCAATTAAAATGAAGCAAGGTACTTCCAAAATACCAAAGTAATATAAAAAAGGAATGTTGGGAAGTTGGTAATTTAGATAATGGCTATGTTAAATATAAAATTATAGCATTCAGTTATAAAAAGTTAATTTAGAACCACTGTATATGTGTACATACATAAATACATATGTACATGTGTATAAGCTTAGAGGCATAAGGCCATTCACGCCCCATCATTATACAAACAGTTTTATTTATCTTGAAAATATGGGTTAGGCTATTTTTTAACTTGAAAACTCTACTAAAGACAGAGTTAAAATTCAGCTGGTTGAGATAGTAAATTTTTCATAAAGTTTAATTTTTTTATTTTAAAAGCTAAAAGATTTAATAAGTAAATTTAGCAATACAAAACTACGCAGTCACTTCACAAATACTGCCTTTCTGTGCTGGAGAAAAAAATCTGTATGAAAAATCTGTATACATTTAAAATAACAGCAAAAGCATACACTATATAGAGATGGACTTGACTGAAAACCATAAAGCATTGCTGATATAAATTAAATAATAACAGATACTGCATATGTGTAATAGGATTCTTAAGATTAAGATGGTGGTCCTCCCTTCAACAGTAGTATTGTTTGAACGAGTATCTTTAAAAATCCTCTTAGGTAAATCTAAATATTGTAGCTGTTCACAGTAAATGGCATTAAAACTATCACTGTTCGGTCTTTCATTCCAAGGGGACCTAGCTACAATCTTGTGGTGATGGTGGCGTAGTAAACAGGGAAGAAATAAATTCATTCTAGCAACCAAAAATATTTAGATAGGGTATAAATATATTTCAGGGCAGCAAAATGACTCAGTAGGTAAAGTCTTTGCAGGAATTTGGTCCTATGGACCCACATGGCAGAAGGAGAGTGCAGACTCCCACAAATTGTCCCTTGTACACTATAGTAGACACACACACACACACACACACACACACACACACACACACACACACACACACACACACACGGGGTGGGGAGATTCTCATTCATTCATATTTTTACATTCTCTCCCTGTCTTCCTTTCAAATAAATAAATGTAACATACATCAGATTTCAGGTGAGAATCAGGCTCATTATTTAGAAGACAAGATATCATGTTATCTTCGAAATGCAGCAGAATGAAGAATAAAGTGGAATAGAGAGAAATTTAAATAGACATAAAAATGGGAATTCGAAAAACAGAGTTCAGCGAAGTAGTACTATTGTGCAGGCAACAATGAGCGCTATTTATATTTAAATAATAGAAAGGAAACCGAGAATAATAACAGTAAGCAATAAAGCATCCGTTTTGACTTGCAAATCTCCCTTCTACAGCTCCTCTCTGCCCCTTCACAGCTATCAGAGGTAGGCCTGCTGACAGAAAGAGGTGAATCTTACCCAGCAATCTTGGAGCAGCTTAAAATACAATTTAAAGTGAAACAAAAAGAAAAAGCTAGGGAGTTATTTTAAATGGAACATCATTGCAGGTAATACACACCTAATGATAAGAAAACTAAGATGATATAATACGAGTCCATTGATTTTTGATAGAAGACTTAAAGAAGCATTTTGGCTGCAGGTCTTGTAGCTCTTGTTTAGATTTCTTTTGTCTCTGGAGCAGTGCTGCTTAGATAATGCATCCCAGATCCTAATTTGAGTGGACTAAGAGCAAAAAAGATTCGGGTCCGGGGACGGCTGGAGGAGGTTCAGCTCACTAATCTTTCAACAGCAGCAGAAGGTCACCATGGTAGGGGTGAAGCAGCTCGGGGTATACCAAAGCAAAGATTAATCTTACCAGGCCACCCAACCATCTTCTTTCCTGGGAGAAAAAGCTGGATCACCCCCTCCAGCCCCATGCCATGCAGGGCCACCCTGGCCTCTAAGGGACCTAGGAACCACACCTCTCCCCCACACAGAGCAGGGCCCTGCACACTGTGGGTGCCGACTTTCTATCCTGACATACTGGACATGTCTCAGGCCTGTAGCTGTTAGGACAACTGAAATGACAGCTAGCTTCCAGGATCACAGAGACTTTGAGTAATCCCAAAGTCTGTGGCACGGCTTGCTGTCAGGTTAAAATGGCCGCCATCAGAGAAGCAGTGTTACCAAGAGCAATATTTAGCAGGTATGCAGCGGCTGAGGGGAGCACTTCTGGGCTTCTGAGAGCAGCAGTCTCACCCAGTGACTCTCTGGGCCAGGAACTTGGGTAGGCAGTACTAGTCAAAACCCTGGGCGGACTCCAGCCCTGAAAAAACTAGTCAAAACACAGTGACCCCAGCCAGGGGTGTTAGCTACCTTGTAGGGCCATAAACTACAATGTCAGTAGGTAAGTGTTTACTGTCCTCTTTGAAGGTTACTTGGCAGACTGAGGTTGGAAACAAAAAGGTATTTCCTGAGGGTACATCTAAGGTCCTCTGGAGAGCTAATGTAAAGACAAATGGGTCAGCAACTCTCAGGTAACCTTCAACCTTTTTACAACTGCCCCACAGCACAGGGGGCACACTGGAAAAATTCCGTATGGAGACACCAATGGAGGTAATAGCTTTCTTCATACAATTCATGCACTGTATCTTCTGTGGTGTGGGATAAGGACTGTGCTGACCTCTGTAAATGTGCACGATATGGAGTGATCCCCACTCCTTGTTCTCTTTGTACCTGCAATGGACACTTTTCTAAATGAGAATTTTCAAAAGTAGTCTCTACAAGAGCAGAAAGATAGACGCTAAACAACTATCTTAGAAACATGGAAAGATATACAAGAAACCAACAGAGAGTTCCCAGGAAGAAAATCAGAGAAGAAAGAGGATTAAAAGGCAAGCTAGGGCCTGACATACAAACACAGGACTTGTGTTGGACCCTTCTCTCTCTCTTTCTCTCTCTCTCCCCCTAATGGCCCAAGTCTGAGAGTCATCCCTGCAGCTGTGGGCTGACAAAGGTACAGTGTAACTCTTTTCTACACACAGGAGGCTGCTCTTGAAGGAAGACAAGTGCTGTGTGTGTGAATGGGGGAGGGGCGCAATATAACAGTGGGAACCACGTGGATATTTTTCACTCATTTTTACTGCCTTCTGCAGGACATGCTATGTGGCTTAACAGACGGCTCTAGGGTTATGAATTAGAGACAAAAGTAGAAGTGTAACCCAACTCGCTATGCCCCTGACCCCCAATACTTATTACAACAACTGTTCCCTGATAGAGGGGAGACAGTGTCAGATCCCTCTTCGGGGAGCAATTTCCTAAGGCTGTGTTTTCCGTTCAGATGCTTCTGACTTAACTGATTTGTTTATAAACTGTTATCTTTATCATAAAGATCTGTTTAATCTGAAGGTTAGTATAAGGGCTCTCTGCATGACAGCTGTCTCATACATCAGTTTAAATGAACACAGCTTTGTTACAGCCTGGCTCGGTGCTGCTGAGCACCTGTGAAGATCTTGACAAGAGTCATAAACGGTATGCCCAGCGAGACCCCGGTGAAAGAATCACCTTCCCCCACCCAAAGCGAGCCCACACCTGTAACGTAGAAAGAGGATGCAGAGGAGGAGACGGATCAGTTTGAACACGCGTAAAGCAGAAAAACGATGCCCCTTAGGAACAAGGTGGGCATAACAACGTCCAATTTTAAATGCTGATGCAAACGGACACCACTACTTCCTGTCTCTCTGAGTGTGGGATGCCTTCAAGCCTCTGTGGCCTTCACCAGGCTTGTGAACTGGGTGCGCTGGTTTATTAATCATGTTTACAAGTCAGGAGTTTCACTGACCTGAAAAGTATTTTCATTTCCTTGCTCTTCAGTCCCCATTCTTTAACCCGCGTGTTAGGTGCGCAGGTGGGAGCGAGCGTCACGATAAGCTCATGCACACATTTTCACTTCAGTGACTTTTACACCACCATTCCTTTTTCCGTTATTTTGTTTAATCAGAATTAGCATAAATGAACACAAATTGTCTCTCTAAGATGATTTGTGATTTCTCTTTAAATAACTTTTGATGGTTTTTAAGACCTTTATTCATCTAAGGGTAAGGGGTTAGGACAAAGGTTCGTTACATACCATAATCGGTGATTTTACAGGACACCAAGTACAGCTCTTTCAGGTTTTGTCCCTCCTTGGCAATGACCTCCACACACCTGAAACACACAAAGTAGTAGAGTTACACTAATGCATCCCAGTTAAATTAGCAAGGGTGGGACCACACATTCACAAGAAGACGCCAGAGGTGAGTAGTTCACGAATAGCCCAGTCCTCTGCTTTCAACACACCTCATTCAAGGGGTCTCAGACTAGACTCTGGTGTTCTCTGCTCTCATGCTAAGGACTCAATCCTAAGTGGTTTCATTACAGGCTTTCTGACCAGCATCCTTTAAAACCCAAGAGATGGGAAACAGGCATTCCTTTAAGACCACTGTAAATCTGGGTACGAAAAGCTGATAAACCCATGTAGCATAATGAATGTGTACATATAAAATGATATAAAATAATTAACCAAAATTGCAGTATATAGGTAGATAGATATTTCAAAGGAATGATAATTATTCAGAGCCCAATTTTTAATTCTGAAGTTTGAGACCATTAAATGCACATTTGAAGAAATTTTATTCAATGTGAAATCCAAAGTTGTAAAAAAAAACTCTATAACTGATAAAGGATATAAAACCAGAACATGCAAGAATGATAAAACTTTCACTATAGAAATGTTTCATTTTTAATATTTTAAATGAACTGTTATATAGAGTATTTTAATTATACACAGTCATATAATATTTTTAAATCTTTTTGATTTTCACTGAAGTTAAAAGATTTTTCAATATAACCTTATCAGAGCTATAGTAGACAATTTAATGAATTTTAAAAATAACGATTATCCACACTACCTAATCCATAGCTCAGTTCTCTAAAATATCAGAAGCTGTACTGTCGGGCTGACACACGGACATGGGTGCCCTTCAATGCACTCCCCGTGTTCATCGTATAGACAGCAGTTAAGCAAAAGGGCAAATAGCAGAAGAGTCATTCGCCTTTTGAGGAAGGAAGGGCCAAGCAGCCTGATAGCTGTGTGTTTAACTCATCAAAACTCAGTGGGCAGCATCCATCTCTGTCTTTCAGATGTTCCATTTGCTGCCTGGCATATTTGTGGGTATCTTCATAAATGTCAGGGAATTTTATATAATTTTACCCCATATAATTCATTATTGAAGGTTAAGTTAGTAAGAAAAGCATATTTTTCTTTTAAAGTACTTTTATGGAATTTTGTCCTAATGGAATGATAAACATTTCATGTTTCCCCAGGCAACCAGGCAAACATGCTTCTTTGGCTGTTTTATCTAAAAAGATTTATGATTAAACCAGATAACTACACAGAGAACTTAAACCACAACAGAGTTTGGATTGACCCAGATTATTGTAAAGGGAAACTTTAAGTCTAATTTCATATTATTTGCTTTAACATAGCATTTTAATAAGTCCATAAAAAATGCTAAAAAGGGTTAAGACAATTCAAGCAAAGCCCACATATTACATATACAGTGAGTTTTTACATGCTGAGAATAAAAAATAAAAGCCACAGATTATTAAAGAATCCTAATGATTTAAAATTTCCTGAACACTTTCTGCAATATCGAAGATCCATATTGTATGATCCTTATTGGGTTAAAAAAAGTTATTGTATTATGTTGTGGTGACAATGAAAAAAAATTGTGTTTTGTTCTCATGCTTCATACAAAATAGTTCAAAATGCCTGATTTATATTTGATTGTGAAAGACATTAAGCAAATGCAGTCTCTCATTGAATCTATTTGTCTCCAGTCTATACTGGATATGCTAGCCATAAACACATATAAACGTTGCAGATTCACAGAGAGGGCTGGAGGTAGCAGATAACAGAAAGAATGCTACTATATCAGACATTTGAACACTTTCATAACAACAAAACCAGTGTGTATCTAGAACAAGACAACCACTGGAGGACAACTGCCCCCAAACAGCTGAATGACAGGGGGCATTGAGGTTCCTCCCCGAATGACAGAGAAAAGGACAGGATGTGTGGATTATTTTGAGTAGATAATGCAAAATCATGTCGCTTGCTCAAGAGGTAATACATTAACAAAAACATACTATTCCTTGAAGGGTTTAGAGTAAAAAATTAATTTTAAATCATCCATTGATATGATATTTGATGACAGAATTTTAAAGTTCCATGAATCTGGACTGAAATTCTCCCCATTTTGGGAGACAGGGTTTCTCTGTGTAGCTTTGGCTGGAACTCAGATTCACAGAAATCCACCTGCCTCTGCCTCCTAAGTGCTGGGATTAAAGGCGTGTGCCACCACCTCCAGGTAAGACTAGAAGTCTCAATGCAATATTAAGACAAACACAGAGTTGAGTAGTGAAAATAGCTGAAGTAGTACTGCTTTGAGATCTGAAAATGGAGTTGGACTGCACTACCCCACGATTGCAAACTGATGGGCACACACAGCACTGCACACACACCCTTGGCCAGTTTCTGAAAACTTGTACTTCTGCCAAGTGTAGCTCCTCAGGCAGCACGGGTGACAGGTCGAGGTGACAGACCAGGGCAATCACTACCCTTTTCTGCTCAAACCTTTAAAGTCCATTCTAGAACACATTTAGAGGAAGTACTACAGTACACCACGTCCACGAGGCACATTTACCCTGTTTTACAAACCCATGGTATGAGCACACTCACCTCACTGTATGCTATGTGAAAGGTTCAGGCATTATGCTGGCCTGCCCCTGTTACCTGGTGGAACAGGCAGTACCCTGGTCAGCCCAAGGTTCCATGGGAACTAAGTCTGCACGAAGGTGCAGAGGACCCCTTTAAAAGACAGGTCCCTGCTCATTTACGCTCTCTGTTTCCTCTCTCTGTTCCCCCGCCCTGCTTTGTCTCTGCTATCTCTCTACTCTGTCTCCCACCTATGTTCTCTCGGTCTGTCTATGGCAACAAGCCATGGCGGTCAGCCATTTACCCTGTTCCTTTCCTCTTCTTAGTCTTCCTACTCTGCTGGGCCTTATAATAAACTTAAAGTCAATATGTCTCATGTCTCAGCATTTCTCTTCTTTTTAAACAAAAGAATAACACTATGTAGGTAGGAAAATAAAATGTAAAAAATAGAAATGATGGAAATTTTCACGAAAGGTATTTATGACAACTTTAAGGGGTATTTTCAAACACCTTTTAAAGTGACAATCTTTGATGGTCCTGAGCGGTGTGTCTCCATTCCCATCCCTATTCATGTAAATCACACAAGAGAACACTCTATCCAATGAAGTTAAAAACAAACCGTATAAGGCCACGGAGCCAGCATACAAGCACCTATCATCAAAATCTAGAATTTAAAATGTTCCCACCCTTTCTATCCTTCGTCCCCATCATTCCAAAGGACAGACCTCTGAATATTATATGACAAATATTCTACCTAGATCCAAGACAAAACAGGAACAAAAAAGAAAAAAAAAAAAGGAAAGAAAGAAACACTAAGTCCTTAGGAGAAGTAGTGAGATTATAAAGGGTAAATGCACGACAAAGACAAAAAATGACATAACTGAAAGATGCCAAAAAAGATGAGAAACTGTCCAAGTATTCCACGTGTTCACACCCAGCCAGGCCTACACTGGCCTGCCCCTGAGCTCTTCTGAGAGCTCACATGCAGACATGTCTTTAGGAAGAAGGAAAGACTCCCAAGACACATTCTCTACTACACCTGTAAGGAACCCAGACTCCTACCTTCCTTGGAGATCCTATATCATTTGCTTCAAAACCAGGCTCCGAGTAAACATTTTCTTCCAGATCAAATGTCTTGGGTTCATTTAGACACTCTTTAGTTTGTTCTCAATTGTCTGCCCTTAGATTATTTTCTTGCTTTTATGCTTCAGCAAGGGTGTGAAGAAAAAAAAATTCAAGTCTTACTATTGTAAATTACTGAGTAACAGCTGTTGAGAATGAACATATACATTATTTATATATTCTTTCTCGCTCTTTTAGCATAGAGGAAAGTGCCAGAAAACCCACTCTAAGATAGTCAGAGAGGACAAAATTAGTTTTGATAATTTTACAGTCACTTGCTTTTAAGAAGGTTTTAAAATACACCTGAAGCATTTGTGAAGTTTAAAAACTGAAAGGTTATTTCATGAGATGTGCAAGGTGTATTTTTTTCTTTCTTTTCTTTTTTAAGGAAAGAAAACATTTCTCAGTTGTGATGAAGGAAAAAGCCTGTCTCCGTAGCAACACATTCTTAATCACCTGATTTACACGAGGGGCAAAGGTTAATGAATTAAGCTGTGAAAGTTTCAACATTATCAAAGGAATTCAAAAGAGCCTTGAATTATGGAAAACAATGACACATTCTACATACATACCAAATTTTTATGTTTTTTTTTGTCTCCTACTCAAAAGCCAGAACATGGCATTAGTGACAATTGAAAAGAACTAATGAGGAAATATGACTATGTTGTTTGCAAGAGGAATGTCCTAGGAGACCTTGTTACTGTTTGTGATGTGCTTGAAACCAAAAAGAAGCTAATTGGAGCTGCCAGACACTGGTTTGCAAATCTTCCTTTAAAGGACAGGCTCAATCACCTCCGGGCTGTGAAAAGAAACATCCCCATAAGAGATGCATTAGCAGAGGGCCTGGTGGAGTTCAGATGGCGCTTGGGGGTTCTCTCCCAAGCCACACTCCTATTTGAGGAACAGACCTATCTTTAAAGAGGGAAAATTGCAACAAGACAAAACAAACAAACAAACAACAACAACAAAACCCCTGAGATACAAAGAAGAAAAAGTATAGAGGGTGCCGTAAACAAGTTGGTAAATTCGTACAAAGCTTGGTGTGTTTAAGGTTGGATAAACATGGAGCTGAAACAGCACAAGTCAAAAGACACCACAAAGGTGATCTACGGGAAGGCTCTAGAAATAGAGCTGGATTTTCAACATTTCTAAAACTAAACAAGCTGCTAAGGGAAACTACACTGTATGGACTGCAGATAGACAAACCGCAGTCCATGTACGTACACACACAGACACAGACACACAGACAGACACATACACACAGACAGACACATACACACACACACACAGACACACACACACACA